CTGGGCACTCGTGCCCTCCAGATAGCGTGAGTATCCCGAGCATCGCCACAGCTCCTCCTCCCTTCCCTGTTAAAGCTGCTTTCCTCCTTCCTTAAAAACTCCTGGATCTCATGTAATCCCTTACGTGACTGCTGAGCTTGCGGATCACTATCTTGGTCAACACTGAAGCACAGGGCCACGGAGCTCTTAGTTGCATGTGAAGTCTCTGATTCTCTCCCTCGCTGACGCTGTGGTTCTTGTGCCTAGAAAGGGGGGCATTCAGCAGCTGCAGTGAACCTTCCTAGGTCACAGGCAAAATGGGTAGGGGATGTGACAAGCTGATCCTGGTTTCTGCTTTTCATAAGGGAGCCAGTGTGGGCTAGAAAGCTCAGAACCGGTTTGCAAAAGCCAGCGTTGGAGCGAGGGGTGCTCCAGAGTGTCTTCAGTTGATACCACAGGGCTGTAGGAATTGGGAATGGAGTAACCAAGCTGAAATCTGTTTTAAATGAAGTTGCATTGTGGCAAGCTGTAAGTTTTTTGAAGGATTTGGAATAGTGGGGCCTCATTTATGATAGGTAATAACATTTAAATCCTATTTTAAGTGCTCTTAAGGTTGGCTGCTCTCAATCCATTTACCTGTCTAGACTTGTTTTAATAATACCTATGAAAAAGGTTTTTGCGCTTTTTGAAAAACTGCCTTATGAGTGAGATTATTAGGCTGTGGCAAAGTTTGTCTGAAAGCACATCTGAGTTTCATCTTGGTTATGTCCACCCTCAAAATAATGCCTCTCCTCTGCATTGTTTAGAAGCTCATAGGTGGTGATCAGATCTTTCCTTAATCATTACGTTGCCAAGCTATTTGCACAGTCTTCACTCTGTGAAGCTATTTTGTGCACATTCTTTCAACTGGTGGAAGGCCAGAAAAATGGGGGAGATGAGAAGGGCCCATGCCAGGCCGTTAATCCAAAACACTCTGGCGCCTGGTTCTGCTTCACCTACATATTCTGCCTTCAGTGCTGAACCTAGGCCAGCAGCAGCCCCCAGTGGCCTTATCCACGCATAACGTGAACTTTCTTTGCTGCTGCTGTCTAATGGGCAGATATCATCACCGTGTTTGCTCTGCTGTTACAACCCTCTGCAAAATGCTTCTTTTTTTTTTTTTTTCCCTAGAGGTAGCGTGCATCGTAAATCCAGCCCCTCACTTTCCCCCAAACAAAGCCTGGAAGGTGTGAGCAAATCACAGTGTAAGAGATGTGTTGGAGTTGTAGGAGGCACGCTCATTTTACAGTGTTTCCACCCTCTTTATTGGATTCATTTTAGAACCACTCTTCCTTACATTTAAGTGCAGCAGAGGGTGGCTAGAAGGGTGTGGATCTGACCAGCTCTCAAGCGCCAGCTGGTCAGCAGAGGCTGAGGGATGGGGCAAGAAGAACAGGCAAGTAAAAGCTCAGTCCATAACTGTTTGGGGGAATTTTCTTCCCAAAGTGCATAAGAGAGCAAATCAGACCTGCCAAGGTGGTGTCCCACCCTCCTACTTTACTGGCTGTTGTCCAGATGACATAGGTAGGCACATGCCTAGCTGTCCCTTTTCCTTCTCTGTATGCACTGTCAAATGATTGTTGTTCTGTCCCAGGATGTGTGCCCCTGTGATGGTGGAGTTGGAAGGAGAGACAGACCCCTTGCTGATTGCCATGAAAGAACTCAAGTAAGTCCCAGACTTTGATGGTGAGCATATTGATGTCCATAAAGCAAGCAGTCCTCTCCTCGTCCCAGCATTTAGCAGCTTATTCCAAGACAACCTTGTCTTCCCTCAATAACAGTGAGCACTACAGTTGCCTTCCCCTTTTTCACCTTGGGACTTCTCCACAGCTGCTCTCTCCCATCCTTGTTGCTTGTGCAAAGTACTGATGATGAGGAGTGCTCTGACTTCTTTTACTTCGGAGTCCAAGTGTTCTTTATTTCTATGATGAGAACCTGAGATCCTCATCTGTCTGGAATCAGTTTAATTCCCTGAATGGAACTGATTTGAAGCAGCCTTCTGAACTGACCTGTGTTCAAATGTAGTGCTGGCAAACAATAAAATAAGGGTCAGGCTGATGGTGTGGAGACCCTGTTAAGAATGTTCTTTTCCCACACCCTTCCACACTTGGCTTATTGTGCTTGCAGGGAGGCATGTCCCCTGCTTACAGAAAGATAAATAAATCCTTTCTGACTGTAGCAGAGGCAGCTCTCGATGACCACTTACAGGCCCGCCTTTCCACAGCAGAGCTCCCTGCTGGCCCACAGTTTGCCTGCGTGGTCAGTGGCCTAGATCACATGGAGTTATCCTTCAAGCAGAGCAACTAGAATCCATTACTGATTAAGTCTCTGTTCGAACTGAATTGTCCCTCTGCTCCTCCAGTTTCTCAGTACGTTGCAGTTGCTCTTGCAGATTTTATATCTATTACAGCTCCTGTTATCATTGCCAAAAGCTCCTTAGGTCATGTTCCTGTCAGATCTCCAAGCTCACTCTAAGCTGCTTCTGGTCACTGCCTGAGCGTGAGCTCTAGAAAGTAAGTCAGGGTGTGACAAAGTGTAGTGGCATCCTGTTCTGTGCCAAAATACAGTTGTAATTCTTGGCATGAGGGAGGTACTTTGCTACTGGAAAAACAATGGCCCTGAAAGTGATTGTTAAAGAAGTTGTATTACTTTTCAAGTATGATACGGTTGAAACCTGATGCCCTGGTTAAATTCCAGACTGTCTGATTACAGTCTGCTGACTTAAATCTACTTCCATTAGGTTAAATTGTGTTCAGCATTTTCTTGCTTTCTAATTGGAACCACTCTTAGCAGATGCTGTGCTGCACCCCAGCTGTACCAGGTTTTGGTCCCTGATTAGTCCTTATTTTATGTATCCTTCTTGAAATGTAACTGTTGCTCTCAGGGTGCAAAAGACTCTGTAAATATCAGTTTTTCATGAAGGTTCTCAGAATTCTGCCATTTTTGTAGTGTCCTGTGGGGAAAAAAAATCTTCCGTCAAATAAAAAGTGGATTTGTTCTTCAAGTCCCTTGATTTCCCCCCCCTCCCCCATATCTTAGTTAGATGCTTGGTGGTGTCTCATAGTGGGTTCAGATCACAGGGCTCAATTCCTGCAGTAGCAACAGAGGGCTGACCTTCCATAGGTTTTTGGCTGTTTTGAGTCTAACGGCGCTCAGTGTTTTGCACCTACAAAAGAGAGGAGGTTGTTGGGACTTCCCTCTACTACGTAATACCAAATCACTGGTGCTACACAGATCTCAGTTAAACCTGATGAGCTTACTGAAGCCACTAAGGCAGTGCCCCTCAGTTCCCATTGCCTGCTGAAGTGGTATAGTGAAGGCTCTGGCATTTCTGTTCACCTCTCTGTCCTCCCTTCAGAGCACGCAAGATCCCCATAATCATCCGTCGTTACCTACCAGATGGGAGCTATGAAGACTGGGGCGTGGATGAGTTAATTATCACAGACTGATGAGCCTCCAGCCACTGTTTTGGTTCTTTCCTTCTCCAGAGATGTTTCTATTTTTGTTTATATTTGTGTAAATAAATTATAAACCTCTCCATTTTAAGTTAAGTGTGGGGTTTTTTTGTTGGGTCTTTTTTTTTCCTCCCACCTTCTCTTTCATTTCAGTCCTACATGCCCAAGAGAAGACTTCCTTACTTATCTCTACCAGCTTGGTCATTATCCTTTCTGTGTCGTGGGCTATATTAATAAGATTAGGGAGCCAAGCGCCGTGCTTTTCTTGTAGCTTTTTTCACCTGTGAAGGCCATACCTTTTAGCTAGGCCAAAGACTGCAGTAACTACTTCCTCCTCCAGCACTGCTCCTCCCCGGCAATAGGGCCAATAGCCAGTTAAACTCCTGCTGTACAAAAATGCTCTTTGCAGGTACTTTGGCTTCAGAAAGACTCCAGCCCTCCACCCCTGTTCCTTCTTAAAATGGGAGTGCTGAGACACCTCCATTGCTTCCCTCTAGACAGTTGGGCCTTTGTGCCCAACAGCAGGTTGCTGTGGAAACCCCCAATTTCCTCTCTGGCCGGGGCTGGCTGTGGGGCTTCTCAGGAGTATCGTAGAGCAGCTCTCATCAAATCACCTATTGTTTCCCTGCTCCTGCTGCTTATCAGAGGTGGGGATCCCCTTTCAGTGGCACTGCCCCAGCCGGAAGCGTGGTCGCCACTCACGGTCCTACCAGCTCGTCAGTCGTAGCTTTTTCTGCGTTTGTTTCTCTTTCAGCTGTTCTCTGACATGCGAGATTGGAACTGATGGTCCTGAGTGTGTGGGTGCTCTTCAGACATCTCAGATGTGCATACTCTGGTGGTTCTTACAGTGGCAAAACAGTAGTTAAATCCTAGAGTTCCTTTAATCTGTAGTGTGATGAAAGATCAGTTATTTGTCCCCTTAAGGCACCTGCACTCTTGCTTCTGATGTGCAGGGAGGTTACATGCTCAAATCAAGAAGAGTTGGGTGGAGGCATTACAATCTGCAAGGGCCTCCAGCCACTACCTGGTTTCCATTTCTTGATCTTCTGTGTACTCCAAAGTTCTTGCTCTGCATGAGGAAGATTGAGAACTTGGGCAGAAAACATTGAGTCTTTCTCAATTGTCCTATTAAAAAGTGCCTGTGGAATTTTTGTTTATTTAAAGAGAAGAAGACGGAAGGTGCACCTGTGGTTTCTGCTTTACACTGATTTTTCTCTTTATGCTCATCCAGGAAGAATCTTTCCAACTAGTTGGTGTTAAAGCTTGTGCTTATATGTAATACAGCATGCATTCTCTGTGCTGTATGTGTGGTCGGTGGCTGCGGATGAGCATCCACGTTCCAAAGAGAGTTTATATCCACCTGCCTGGGAACTCGGCTCATATAACTAGCCATGTATGTCATTCTCTTACTGCTCCCTGTAAAAGCACCGTTCCACGCTTCCTCTGTTGGTGTGCACAGGAGGGGCTGGTTTTGGAGGCGAGAATGCAAGAGCTGAATGGGTCCCTGGGCGAAATGACAGGTCAAAGGGAGTGTGGAGATGCTTGCAGGTGTGGGAAGGGGGTTGACTGTGAGGAACACAAATGCTTCCTGGTCTAGGCCATCCCTACCAAGAAAAGGTTAATTTGCAGCACTGTGGCCTTCAGCCTTCTCCCCCCACCCTCCATGGAATCCTTTAATCACGTTGGTGCGGTGAAATTTCAGCCCTGAAATGGTGCCTTTGTGCAATGGTTTTGGCGTCCGCCATGGAGCGCGGGGGTCGTTTTCTTGTCCTTTTTTTTTTTTTTTAAATGGCTTCTTTGTTCCCTACCCGCCTCCCCTCCCCAGCCTTGCATCTGTATCAGATACGATTAAAGGGATAGGGAAGGATGCCGGGCCAGCTCCTGCTAGGCTGCAGGAGGAGTGGTTAACCCCTCTGTTACCAGCGGTATTCTCAGTCCTGTCTTAGTTGTGAGGACCCTCCTAGATGAGTGGAGGCATCCTCTTCTACTAGAGAATGGTTGAGGCAGAGCCCACTCACTTTCTTAATTTGCTTTTTGAAGGGCTGGAGAAGGTACTTGTGTGTGGTTAAGAACTTTCTTTTCCTGCTCTTCTGTTCTTCCACACCATGTCCCTTCTCTCTCCCACCCCTGTGATCAGCTCTTCTACCCCTAATTCCACCATGGCTTCCCTTCTTCCTCACATGTGCTCCTGACCTGCTCAGCAGTGCAGTAGTTTCTTCTGGACTCTTCCCACAGCCTGTAATTTGGGGTAGAGATTTCTCCTCCTCTCCAGTGAATGGCCACCGTCCTATTTTGCATGGAGCTCTTTAGCTGGCGTCACCATTGTTAGATCCATTAAGCCATTCTGCTACTGATGCTCTTGGCGCTATACAGGACTTCATCCAAATAGCACTGTGAGTTTTAAAAAGCTTCGAACGTGTTCCACAGTTCCTAGATGTCCTGCTTACTCTACTCACCCATAAAGCGTTTAGTGAACACAAACTGACTGGATCGGTCACATGCGTCTGCATTGAAACCTTTGGAATCAATTTGTAATTGTTGTGGAGTCTCTGTGTTAATTGGGCTCCTGTCTTGCTACCATTGGCCTTGAGAGATGTTCTTAAGCAGACTGATGTCTGCTGTACATTTTCTTTCCAAACATCTTCAGATAGCTTCCCAGGACCTGACTACACCCAGGATGTCTTCTTCAACAAGTAAGAAGGTGTATACATCTATTCTTGAACATACTCTCTGTGTCAGGGTGTGGGTGTTTGTATGTAGGTTCTTGCTTGTGGAAGGCAAGAGGACCCGGGGGGGGGAAGTTTCTACAGGGAAACTAATGGTTGCTTCCAAATACACGTTTGTGTATATGGGGAAGTTGGTTTTTTTTTGAAGGTATGGCATCTGCCACCTGGTGATGAGAAACCAAGATGAGAAACCCCACACTCCTATTCTGGAGAGCATTAACAGTCACACTAAGAAATTCTTGGGTGAAGCACATGCAAAACAGCGCTTTTCTTAATTGCACGTGCTGAATCTTAGCTGAAGACCAGAAATCAGTGCTATTAATTTTCTCACTGAAGACGTGACTGGAGCTGCGCCGTGAACGGAAGATGAGTCTCATCTCTGTGAAGGAGTCTGGTAAGCCAGTCAGAGTTCTGCCTGTGTCCTCTCCATGACAGGCAGAGGAAGGCTGTGCACAGGGTCCGTGTGGTGGTGGTGTGACCCATCATACACTTACTGGGGAAAAAAACAGAGACTTCCAGGAAAGAAGTCAAAACACCAAAGCACATGAAAATGAAACTTTTAAGTTTATTATTCCATATGTTTAATGCAGAGTTAATGGTGCTAGGACAGCATAGAGACTGGGGAAAGGGAGGTGGGGAAGGAAGGTGCTACTTGCATAAATAAGGGGACAGGGCTGGAAGAGGTTACATGTGTACAGGGAGCAAACATTCTACATGATCTTTTCAGACACCACAAGGAGAAGTCATCCATAGCTAAGGGAGGCAGGAAGGGCATCTGACAGTCATATCAGCAGTGGGAAACAGCAGCACTGATCACAGTCCATGTTTGGTCAAAGTATTTTAGGCTGGAATATCCATTGGAAGGTCCCACATGTCTCTGCGATCAATTGCCAGGAGTCATCTTTTCCTGCAACAACTTTTGTGCCAGTTCACTCCCTGGCACGACAAACCACCCCAGTCCTGGGGGTGACAAAGGAGAAGTAAGCAGACTGTCCTCGGGTGTTGAGCTGAAAATAGGAGGTTGATCTGACTGCGAGAGCTGGTTGTTTCCAGTTTGAAACCCAAAGGGGAAAACAAATTCTTTTGCACCTAAATAGGCTTATTTTCTTTACACTCATCCAAGATTGGGTGCGTATCTGCCTTGCTTAAAGCTGCAGGAGGATCTTTCCATCTTCAGCGTGGGTAGGAGGGAGGTGTTGACTGACTGGAAGACATGATGAACAAACGAGCGGAGATGCACACCCCGTCAGCCTGAGTTTGGAGTGGAGATTCAAAGAGAGTATTGGAATCAGCTCGGGGTGTTGGCAAGTGCATAGTAGCTTTCTTCGTGCCTCTTCATTTCAGGCAGGAAGAGCAAGGACCTAGTTTGCTCAGAGGTTGTTTGGGATACTGAAGAGATTAGAAAGGACTGAGATGCCAGAAATGCCAGACATAAATGAATGATACAGAGTAACTGTAAGAAGGGAGGATTCACCCACAGCACCTTGATGATCCACCAGTCCTTCCCCACCTCTCCTACACCTCCATACATGAACACGCGTGCACACACAGGCTATGATATGAGTAACGCTAAGACCAACAACGCAGTTCCTGAGTCCTACGCGTTGTTC